TGACCCAGCTTTGTTTTGGCAGTTTCCCTAATACATCTTTTAGCATCCTTTTACTTTCAGCTTTTATGGTTCTACCTTTAGGTGGACCTCTTATAAATAGCATGGATTTTGTTTTTAATCCAGTATGGAAATACCTGTGTCTTTTAGCTGGAAAATGTATTACTTTACTCGTCAGGCCTAAGTTAGTGTTTCCTCCAGAAAGGGTTTGCTTTGGCTTCTACTGGTAGCATCTAGGTTTCCTTTAGTGCCCTTGAAGGTCTTGGTGACTGTGGGGTAGCAGGCTCAGCTTCCTCACCTTGCTGGTGGCCCAAGGTTCAGTGTCCTTGCTGAAGTGCATTATTGGCAGCTGCTCTCAGGCCTACCTTGCCTTTCCCTAACTCTCCAGCCACAAGGATACCTTATTTGAGTGAGGGTGAAGTTTTTATCTCTTGGGCGATAAGGGATGCTTCAAGGAATATGTCCTTGCTTTTTCCATTTCTTCTCCTTTCCTTCTCCTCTGCTCTCCCTCTCCCTCTTCCCCCTTTCCTTCTCCCTTTTCCTCTTCTTCTCCCTTCCTTTCCCCTTCCTGCCTCCTTTCCTCTCCTTTCCTCTCCTATCCAAGACAAGGTTTCTCACTATATTGCCCAGGCTGGCCTTGAACTCCTGGGCTCAGGCAATCCTCCCACCTCAGCCTCTGGAGTAACTGAGATTACAGGTGTCCACCACTGTGCCTGGTTTGTTTCTTGTATAGCATATAGCTGTTCTGTTAAGGGAAGGGTCCCTCAGAGCCATAATATGACCTTATCAGCCATAATAGCAGATGTGACAATCTTTTGTATTCTCTTTGTTTTGTTTTCTTTTCCATGGTACTTATCAGTATATGATATGTTGTAGATTTATTTATTGTCTTTCTCTTCTCACTAGAATGTAAACTCCATGAGGGCAAGGATTTTTCCTGTTTTTGTTTTCTGCTGCTTCTGTAGAATCTAAATCACTTCCTGTTACTTAGCATGTGATCAAACAATATTAGTTGAATGAATGAGGGTTGAGAAGATGATGTGAAAAGGCAATGCCAAGTCTTGAACTCTTACCTTCAAATGCTTTTGTGTGTTCCACTATGACCATTTTCACAAGTTAGGATGTCCTTACTTTTCCCTAGACTATTTTAGCCCATTTCCAACTGGTCTCTTGTCTCTGTTTTTGTGGTTCATCCATTCCTTCCAATCCATCCTTCATGTGGCTACCAGACTTTCTTCCTAAATATAGATATGATTATCTCACTGTCCTGTCTTGGCTTTGCCTATAGAATAAATTCCAGTTTCTTTTCTTTTTCTTTTTTTTTTTTTTTTGAGTTGGAGTTTCACTCTTGTTGCCCAGGCTGGAGTGCAGTGATGCAATCTCGGCTCACTGCAACCTCTGCCTGCTCACTGCAACCTCTTACCTCCCTGGTTCAAGTGATTCTCCTGCCTCAGGCTCCCAAGTAGCTGGGATTACAGGTGTGTGCCACCATGCCTGGCTAAATGTTTTTGTATTTTTAGTAGAGATAATTTTTACCATTTTGGTCAGGCTGGTCTTGAACTCCTGACCTCAAGTGATCCACCCACCTCAGCCTCCCAAAGTACTGGGATTATAGGCATGAACCACTGCACCCAGCCTCCAGTTTTTTTTTAATGTGGTATTTTATTCCCAGTGTAGTTTTCCAGTTCCATTTCTGCACCAAACATTCACTGCTCTTGTCACATCAAAATATGTATAGGCTCTCATTATGCCATGTCTGCATTTTTATATGACCATGTCCTTATCTGTAGGATTCCATGAGTCTGAAAACTCTTTTTGTTGTTGTTGTTTATACTTATCAAAATCTTAGTTATCCTTAGAGTCATCCAGAGTCATCTTCCTAAAGACCATCCTGATGTTCAATGAAGAGAATCATTCATTCCATCACATTTTTCTTTCTATATTGGTACTTCTCATAATCTACCATCTGCCTTGTATTCTTTTTTTTTTTTTTTTTTTTTTTTTTTTTTTTTTTTTTTTTTTTTTTTTTTTTTTTT